GTGAACAGTAGGAACCTTAACTAAATCTTCACATAGTTTAAGAACTGTCACATTTTAGAATAATCCTCCATTTATGTTTCAGAAGCCTTGGTATTTGTTGTGAATGCATAAAATACAGATTCTATTAGAAATCTTGTGCTTAGCATTTAAGCAATAAATATGGATTCCAATAGCAGTTTGATAATGCTAAATGGCTTTTACTACTCCAAAAAAGTAAAAAGGAAACTCAGGTTTCTCTGAAATACCATATCACAAAAGCATGGCAAATTACACCAAAATTCTGTGCTAAAGTGTTAAATACAGTTAAACTGCAGGCCCTCTGAAGAAGAGCTAATTAAAAGCCAGAGGTTTTAGTAATTGATTTCTCTCAATGCCAACTGCAGCAGTTGCTTTGAAGTGTAAATATGGTCTGAATGCACTCATCTCTGAAATAGATGAAAAAGTTATCAGTAAAAGATGATTGATTCTGAATTAGTGGAGGCAGCATAAATTTACTGTGTGTCATGATCACATAATTTTGATAATAGTTCTTTGTCCTTTAGATAAAATAAGTGCCTACTCTCATCTCTGTCACAACCTCAGTAAAAGTTCACAGACTATGGAGTGTGATTAAGCTCAGTCTGTATTTTTTTTTCTATTCTTGCTCAATTTCCTTTTAAGCCGTATTAATAAAAGCCATAGAAAACTTGGTGAACAGAACAAGAAAGCATATGGATGTATTGACACAACTGTCTATTCTAATTTTAAAGTTAATTTCTCTTTTAAAGCAAAACCTGAAAAGCATTGTATCATATGTTTTGTCTTTGCTACCACCCAGAAAGGTAGCATTCTGCATTCAGAGTATATTTATCCTTCACGTGATTGTGTGCTAGACTGAAACCCACCAACAGAATGTTTTCTAAAGCCTAGTTAATTCAAAAGAGAGATTTTTGTACTCTGTAGATATTTATTAATCTACTTTTCCACAGCAAAGCATGGCCTTAGTACCACCGTTGTGTAGAAAACCAAATAAATTTCAGTTTGGAGGAGTTGCAGCCTCATGGGGTCCAAACTGCCTGTAAGAAAGGATGATGACAACATGCTTTAGGTCTACTTTGTTAACAAAAAATATGTAGCAGTAAAAGAGAAGCCTTGAGAGTATCTTGTCCTCGATTCATAAATTAAGTTTTAAGCATGGTAGCATGGAATTTACTGACCTGACATATACTGGCAAATTGATAGCAGATAAACAAGTTTGCTATGTTTACATTTTCATGTAAATGACCTCTCTTACCAGGTCAGGAGAAGTGTGATGGTGTGATGATGGTGATGTTTTTAGATTAAAATGATCACATTTGTAAACTACAAGATTTCCCATGCCAGAACACATTTTCAGAAGGGGAGAAAAGCCTGTTCTAAAAGCCATATTCTAAAGTCTCTGTTTTAATGATATGCAAAATGAGCAGTAGTAAAAATAAAGGAAAATAGTTGAAATTAAAATGACGCCATGAAGAATCTACTTTTCCCGGCATTTTCTACATTTTTCCAGTAACTTTTATATAGTGTACTCTATTTAATTTCATAGCAATACATAGAATACAAAACAAAACATACATAGAACCTTAAATATCATACAGTTCTATAACTGCAGCCACAATGTAAGTACAACTGGTTACTGTCATTTCCCCTGCCAACGATGGCAGTAATGTTTACAGTGTTATTGTTTCTTATGTCTTTGCTTTCCATTTATATTCCACAATAAAAATCCATTTAAAACTTGATTGATTGTAAAGAATAATTCAGTTTGTTTATCTGCACTGGTGACAGTAGTGAAAGCTTTTATCAGTAAATTGGGCAAATACTGTCAAGACTGTGCATCATGGGTAGGTAGAAGTAAAACTGCAATTTTTGGTTATACTGGCAAATGTAACATGATGATCTGTCCTCACTGCCACTGAAGCTATTGCAGAAAAAGTGGCATTTAATCACAGTTGTTATGAAAAGTTGTTTTAGCATACTGTTCCCTCACATTGAATAATTAGAAAAATGTGCTTTACACGTTGTAATGGAGGCCTGCTAGCTGGTGTGTTACAGCTGGCATTGCTCTCCTAAGGGTGCCCATGCCTCCTGGAGAAAACATTCTGAAAACAACAGTGTTACATGCACTCTGCATTTGTAGCATTGAGAGAAATAGCGACAGAATAGAAAATTAATGGCAGCTATAGGTTTCTCTGGTTTCTGGGACAGGTGTGGGGTAGTAATAAGGGATGGGAGAGCTTGCTGTAAGGCAGGCACTTAAGTAATTGAAATCCAGAACTGTATTCCCCTCTTTAATAGAAGCAGAATTGATTCTGTTAAATTCATCTCAGTTGTATGATGAGAAATTGGAGTGCTCCTTGTTCTAAAAAAGCAAATTTACAATGTGTTCTAGAAATCCTAGTATGATGATCTTCTGCAATCCAGTGTAATTTGTGCTCATATATGCTTGAGAAAAAAACTACTTACATCTCTTCTGTTTATTTAATTGTACAATTATTACAAAGATGTACCAAAAGCTGTCAAGCTAAGGTTGTACTTGGGTAGTGCTTTGTGAAGACTCAAATCCTTCTTTTCACACTTCATTGCATGTTTTGAGCTTCTAGATTTTGTGCCCCAACTCTTTGAGTCAGCTGAGCTATCTGAATTGTATCCTTAAATAGTATCTTAAACAGAAAATACCGGAGAGAATTAGTGCAGAAAGAACTGCTGTGGAAAGTAAGAAGCAGGAAGAAACTGTAACCTCTTTCCATGACAACACTGTTTCTTGAGAATTACAATTGCAAAAAAAAACCCCTTTAAAAATCCACTTGTGAGTCTTTAAGTATAGAGACTTTTTTTGTGCAAGCCCTTAGTATAATTTTAAGTACCTATAACTACAGAAAATATAAGAAGTTGTCAGTTGTCTTAATCCATAAAAAATAAATGTCATATTTACAGCCTGTTAATTACACTATATGACAGAAAGTTTTTCCAAGACTATGAATTGTTCTAAAACAGATAAATTATTTCATTTTAGCCAAGTGGCATTTGGGAAAGTTTTAAAGATTTTTTTTCTTTGATTTTTTTTTTAATATCAATATGCAAATTTCATATTAAAAAATAGCAAGGTACTGTATTTGACTTGTTTTAGGAAGAATAAGAAACAGATGATGAAACATTTTAACTGAAACACTGGAGAGGAATTCCTAAGAAGTTAGTTAAGTTACTTCATTAGGCAGTGGCTTTTTGAATAATAGGGAGGCACTGCCTTTGAATGATAGAGATATTTTAGGTATGAATTGGTCAAGTGTTTGGGTTTCTTTAGTATGCAGAAATCTTTCATGACTCCATGGTTTGTCTCCATTTGGTTTCCTCGTACAGGTTTTTTGACTGAATTGTATGGCTGTTATATATCGGCTTCTCAAATCAAGGCTTCTTCTGGTACCAAATCTGTCTGGCATTAGGTGTCTGTCTAATGGTGGTTTCTGTTCCAGCCAGAGGAGATTTCAGCAAGGTGTGAAATTTGAAATATGCAAAAATGTATACATGGGGCTATACACATTCATTAATTGTGAGTTTACAATTGCACTGTAACACATAAAAAGAAAAAGCACTTTCAGTAAAGTACAGGGGGGATGGGAAATAACCCCCTACTTTAGAAAAATGTAAACTCGAAGAAAGACTAAAAGGTATCTCAAAATTCTTTTGCCGGCAAAATCAGAAACTTGTGAAAAGAAAGTCATTAATGTAGGGGATCCTTAAACCATTTCCAACACTTTGTTTTATTCCTTCCTGCTTTACACGTGGGCCTGTTTGTTTCTGTAAGGTAATATATTATACAGGAAAACTAAGAAAAAGGTTACTTCTTTTGAGAAAGTGCTGTATTACTTTCCATATATTTTCTCTAGCAAAAATTTCACTTTATTTTTCCATATTGTCTGTGTTAAAAATCTATGAGTTTTGTGAGTCTTCACAACTGAGAAAGTCTCAAACCACGGAGCAGGATCAGTGGTTTTTCAGGATCAGTAATCACTTTTCATAAGGCTAATTAATCTTACCATTTACAGGAGTTTACTGAAGTAATAGTAAATGTGTGCTCCATGCCCTGTTTTACATTCCTTTTAATTTTCACTTACCTTACACAGTTCATTGATGGTAAGGTTAGTGAAGGAACTGGGAAGGAAATTTACTGAAAGTGACTTTACAAGACAGTGAATATTTAGGGTGAAGAAAAAGTACCTAATCAGACAAGAACACGACATTATGATGATAACTGGGATTCAGTTAAAGCATGAGTGAGTTACAAGGTTTGTAAATTATGCAGTCAAATCTGAATGATACGTAATAATACATCCTGTATTTTACTCCTTGTTAGATTCTTGAAAGAAAGAAATGTGCCTAATGCCAGCACCTACTCTAATGAAAAATATAGCATGGTTTTTAAGCTAATAAAACCAGAAATCTCTGAGGAGATAACAGTTCAGATATATTTGTCAATCCCTAAAATAAGTAAGGACATAGATATTTTTCATGTGTTTTATATTCCATATGTGTTCTTCTAATGTTACTTTTTACGTTGAAGTTCAAAAATTTGTGTCATTATGAAAAATGAGTTATTAGTAACATATTAGAAGTGCATTTTCTCATTGTTTTAAAGGAGAGGAGGCACCTGAGTCTTATTTAATATGCTTTATTTAGATCTCCTGTGCTTTTTTACTATAATAAAAATATATTACTAGACTTATCTAATATATTGTTTTCAACATGACAAAGTTACATAAGAGAATCCCCTTGTACTTAAAGAAAAATGCAATTATTTTCCATTCTGAATCTTCAGACTGCTATTTTAGAAAATCATATCTGATTATTTGCTCAGCAGAAGATTATTGCGTTGATTTAGCTGTGATTTTACTTAACAAAGCTTCAACTGAATTCCTACTGTGGAGTCCAAAAAAGGTAGAGAGATATAAATGATACATTCAAACTGTGATTTTTGTGAACAGGGCCATCAATGCACCCCTCGGAGCTAATAGCGGAGATGAGAAACAGTGGGTTTGCACTGAAACAAAATGTACTGGGGAGAAACTTGACCGCAAATGATCCATCACAGGTAATATCTTTTTACCAGTAAGCTGAAAATGTCTGTAAATCTAAATGTGATTGCTTGTGAATTGTTACTTAATGTTTTCAAATATGCATATCCATAGGAAAGCTGAATAGCTATACCAGTAGAAAAATGTACAAAAACTTAGTTTTCCAGCTTTCTTTCATACAGAATGGTGAATAATAAGTTACTTCTTTTAAAACCACATTTAACAAATTAAATCCCTTTTCTAGCTGACTAGAAATTGAATTTTTCATAAAGGTGTGGTTAGGCTTCTGCTGCATACTTGTAATGCAGTGCTACCCTTTGGATGAAGTTTGAGGCAGTAGGCAAAAATAATTACTGCCAGGAATGCTATATCTGAAGGGGTTTTTTCACTTGATTCACTATTGTTCCAGTTATTATTTCTGGGAGTGAAAATGGTTCAATTGCTTTTACTTAGACTGCTCGAATTATGTTACTAATTGAGGCACTTAAATAAAAGTGTAAAATGAAAGATTAATATACGCTCCTTGAAGTAACCTTTGTTCATGTGGCAAGATAGTCAAACCACTAGTAAAGAGGGGATGACTACAAGCTGGTATTGAAATCTTCAGTAAATCAACAGTTCATTGTTGATTATTATCCACAGATAGCTTTTCTTAAAAAGCTATGTACCCCAAAAATGTAGCATATGGGCACTGTTAAATGAATCGTGTTGATATCAGTATGTTTGCTTTATGTTAGGTGTGCTGGGGTTTCTTTGTAAGAGCTTTTTAATCTTTATTTCTTCTTTCGTCTTCTGAGTGTGGCTAAAATTAAAAACATCACTGTGGAGAACTGTGGTGTACCAGATGCACATAATTTGAGGAATTCAGGGTCTTCAAAGTAGTTTTGCTTTGCTGATTGCGTTACTGTACGTAGATTATATGATTACAGTATTTTGCATTGCTAGAAGACTTTGTGCACATTTAAAGACTAATAACACAACAGTGAAGTAGATGTGTTACCCATTTTCCTAATGACTAAACCGAGACAGAAAAGTAATTTGCTTAAATTACTCTGAGTTTGAGCAGGACTAGCGTCTTACCTATTCATCCAAGCGTGATAACAATGGAGTGACTTATCCTGGGGAATCGTGGGCTTCAAAATTGGCTCATTTGTATTAACTATTTCAGAAATGTTTCTTTCCCTAGCAGTGATTTTTTCATATGTTAGTAATAACTCCTGTTGTATAACCCCCACATTGTAACACCTACTCAGCTCTGAGAGAGGATGTCAGGGTTTTTCACCAGGTAGTGGGTATTCTGTTCTAACCAGTATCTTAGGTTGACTTAATAATACAAATATATTTGTGTCTGTGCAAAACCAAGGTGTATAGAGGCACCACTTTTAAAACAGAAATGTGAATTAAGATAGTATTTTTACCTATAAGAACCTAATGTCTTACTGCTTTTTTCTAGGAGTTTGTTACAAGTGAAGGAGATGATGATCCAGAAGTTGAATTTTTAAAATCACTATCAACCAAACAAAAACAGAAACTTCTAAGGTATGTCTGGTACCTAGTGGAGGGGATGTGTATCACCAGTAGCTCTGACTACATCCATGATTGCCACTGTAACTGTTTGGTTCCATTTAGCACCATCAGTACAGAAGAAAATCAGCTTAGTTTAACATACATTTGACCACAAATGGCATTATGTAGCATGATTTTTAATCTACTTGTTTTATTTTGATCTGGTTTTGATGCCTTTGACTAGGGCTCATTTCTAGTATAACTGGGATACTGAAATACTAATTGGCTCACTAGAGATGCTATGCTACTATTTTAAAATATTATTCTCCATTGTTTACAGTATCCACTTCTGTGACTAAAAATTCTATATTCTTGTTCACTGGTTTACAACTTGACAAAGTTTACTTTCTCCCTGTGGCTGAACTGAACCTGACCCTGTACCCCAAGGCCAAGGCTGGCCCAGCTGCACCCCATGCTTGTGTCAGGGTTTGCAACTCACTGCTCCCTGTGGGTTTGAGTTAATGAGGTTCCCATGCTCTGCTTTTATCCAACTGATGTTGAGTGCCAGGTGACTTACGGTTTTTTCTCTCTTAATTTGCAATGTTATCCTGAAATAACCTCAAAATGTTTAAAATCAAAACTACTAACTACTGGCTGGTAGATCCCATAGAGTCATGCAGATAAAACAAGCTTTTAGGATAAAAGATGTCACATATGTGGGGAGTGGGAGGAGGAGGGGAAGGTGAATGGCTAAGCAGGTACATGAGTAGGTAGGTACACATGGGATTCATATATGTAATAAATAATTCTCTGAAAATAGTCGACATGTTTTATGTTCCTTTTAAGAAAGGAATGTGTATGTAGTTAGAGTAATTTAAAATGTTATTTTTGTTTTAACTGCTGGCCGAACACACTGAAATTTTTTTAATCGTTTATATTTTAGGAGTTGAAGTTTAGTAAATATTTGGGTCCTTTAGGCTTTATTAGTCTTAAGGGAATTTTTAATACATGGGAAGCAGTTTCACTATTCACTCACTGATTTTTTGAACATAAATACAGAAAGCAAAATAAAAACTACATTAAAGTAGTCGAATAGCAGTGAGTGCATGTGCATAGTGGAATATTGTATATTTACAGATAGAAAATGTAAGTTTCTTGTTGTGAAAAAAGAGGTTACTGGAAATATCTGTTTTATTTGCCTAAAGAACTCAAAGATGTATGGTTCGGTCTCAGTTTTCATCATTAATAAAAAGTGAATACTAATTGTATTTTTTCATTTTCAAAATACCTTTTTAAAATGCGCAAACAAAAGCAGCAATGATTTCCTAAAATCTCCAGAGCAGCCTGACAAGGGGAAAAAGAGCACTACTGTATGTATTTATTCCTAGTTACAAGGCTCAAATTGACATATCTTACTTATCTTTTTGAAAATTAAAGAATTAAAAAATCATATTACTCCTCTTTTAAGAGACCAGCTGTTGATTATATACTACAGGTAATGCCAGGTTAGAAGTTTTTAAATTAAACTTTGCTGAAAAAGGAAAATAATTCAATTTTTTAAATGAAAATGAATGTATTTACTGTGTAGGTCATTAGAGGTAGTGAACTTTAAAAGACACTGACTTTGTAATCTAGTATATCTTAACATGTCTGATTGTGCTACTCTTTTATTTTGAAAATAAAAGGAAGTTGGATCGTCTAGAGAAGAAAAAGAAAAAGAAAGATAGAAAGAAGAAAAAGCAGCAAAAGAAAAAAAGCAAAAGTAAACACAAGAAACATAAGATGAGATCCTCTTCCTCATCCTCCAGTGAGACTTCAGTAAGCAGCAGTGATAGCGAGACTGACAGCAGAGATAAAGCAGCACAAAAGAAGACGGATTCTAAGAAAAGAAAAAAAGACAGGTTTTCAGAGGCTAGCAGCAGCGATTCAGAAGGAAAGGCAAAAATGAGGAAGGAAAAACTTTATGAAGATCTCTCCAGTAGTCACGGTAACAAGGACAAAGATAGGGAGAAGTACAAGCTTTTAAAGCGAGACAGTTCTGCAGAGAACAACAAATGGAGCTCCTGTGAGGTGGAAAGAAAGTCTACAAGCAGATACCATAGCACTGACACGAGAGACACTGAACGAAAGGAGAAGGATAGTAGAAGCCAAAATATGAATGAAGGGAGCACGCGAAGCCCGTGCTCAAATCACAGCAGTTCCAGGCAAAGGCACATAAGAAGAAGTCCAAGTCAAAGCCCTGGTGAAGAGCGGCACAGGAAAAATGAAACCAGAAGCCCCAGCACAGATGTACACAGAAAGAAGGAAAAATGTAGAGAAGGCTATGGGGACAAGTGCAGTAAAGTGGAACACAGAGAAAGGAGCAAACGCAGTAGAAGCAGAAGCAGAGAGAAGAAAAAAACCAGATAGTATAGGGGACAGGTGCAAACACGAATTTCTCTGGGTTTTGATGAATACCTTTTAACAAGGGCTTATTTGCATACTGCTGTTCATTTTCCAACCTCTTTAACTACCATTTCCTACATAAAGCCAACAGCATCAATTCTATTGTGTTGGAATATTTGTAAATTAGGTATAAACGTTAAGGGTTTTTTTACTGTCTAAGTATGCTTATTGGCAAATACCTCTTGTATACATGCAGTAATTCACAGACCTGATTTTAGGATTTTAAAATATTTATAAGCAGTATGTGATACTCTTGGTTTCATCCGTGATTGATGTTTAGATGCAACTGCAAGGGGGAGCAGAGAAAGCATTTGAGATAGTTCTGGATAAGATCACTGTTTAAGATATCAAAGCATTGTTTTGTAGGTTTTGTTTTTTTCATACTGAAACATTTTTCCTAAAGTTCCCTGTAAGAGATCAATTTCATGAGTTAAAACAACAGAGAGACATAGTTCACATAAGTGTATAGCCAACATCTTTTGGCCTCCTGCAGTGTACAGTTTGGTCAGGGCTATCTAAACATCTTGAACCCCCGTTGGTATGTGTCAGTACAATGTCAAGTTATTGTTCAATAATCTCTCAAGACATGAAAGGAATATTTACTGCCTCAACTGTTTCAGGTATTTCATTGTTTGTGGTAGTAAGTTAGTGTAAATAGTCATCCTTTTGTTTTCACTGAACCTTTTTGTGTTGTTAGTGATTGTCAGTCATTTTCTGCATATGTTGTTATGAAGGCAAACTTCCATAATAAAATACCTTATTCTTTAAAACCAGTAATAATTGCCATCTTCTTCAGAGTTCTGAGTCAGTACAAATGCTTAAAGCAACACTTCACAAGGTTTTTATTGCTAAGGAAAGGCTTCTCTGCTCTTTCAGGATGGCAGATGGAAGTACTTTCATTAGTGGACACGTGAAACAGAGTCACTGTGCTCAGTATTCCAGCAACTTTCTTACCCTCCTCACAGGACAAATGGGACTATCTTTTATTACCAGTCCACTTCCACTTCACTCAGAAGATTTTCAGCACTGCACAGAGTATAATAATAATCCATGGTGAAAGTGACCTGGCTTATCGTTTAAGTGCATGTGAAGAGTTTGAAAGGGTGAACCATTAAGAGATGTCACCTTTTCAATGTGTCTGCATTAGGTTGCTCTGGGAGTAGCTGGGAGTTAAAGAGCCCCTGCAGTAGAGTCAGCCCCCCTGTATTGATGTGTGGAAGCTCTGATTTAGAAAGAACAGGAGGAGACTGCAAAAATGCCTGTTTTAGCAATCTAAACAAAACCTCTGTGTAAGAGAGGACAGAGTAATGTGATAGGGGAAAAGGCATATTCTGGTAGAACATTTTTGTGTTAAGTACAACAGGAAAGATAGGAATAAGGTGCCTCTGTTCCAAAGAAGGGTCTCTCCAGTGGTTTTGTGTTTGGCTCAGGAATCCTGCCAATTACAATGCAATTGATTCCCACCTGAAGAAGAGTGGACAGCTCAACATCCACAGCTGTGTGCTCTTTTGTGGGCTCTGCACTTTACTCCTTTCCATGTAGTTAAACAGTGTATCGTGCCTTTTCGCATAGGAAGAGACTGGCAGAAAAGTCATGACATTTTGGATATATCTGTCTTAAGACTACATGTGGAAGAGCTTTGGAGCAAACCACTCATCCTGTCAGGGGAAGGTTGGTGTGGCTGTGCAGGCAGTGTTGCACTACTCCCGGTGCCTTCCCTAGGCCAGTTTGTGTCCCTCACCGGTACGGGAGTGACCCTCGGGGCCCCAGGGGGCGGCTGCGGGAGGGTGGGGGCCGGCCGGGGTGCTCCGGGCGGCAAGGGTGTGCTGGAGCCGCGGTGGGCCGGGCCGGACCGTACCGGGCCCGGGGCGGTGTTTGCCCGTTGCCCTCACGGGCCCCGCCGGCACCGCCCGCGGCGCGGGGCGGCTGCGCGCGCCCGGCCCCGCCCCGGCCCGCGAGGCCATGAGGAGCCGCCGCCCCGGGCCGAGCGTGGCGCTTGGCAGAGCCGGCAGGTCCCGGCAGGAGGTGCTGTCGCTCCGCGGATGGCGGTAAGAGCTGCTCTAGCGATATAGTTATTTTGTTATTTATTTATTTATTTTCGTAACTGCCGTGGAATAGGGTTAGCCTTCTACGGGGTTGGGCAGCGGGGGCCGCAGCGCCGTGAGGGGGTTCCCCCTCCCTGGCGGGGAGGGCAGGACCACTGGCAGGGACTCCCCGGTGCCGCAGCGGGGGCCGGCGGCTCTCCTGGGGCGGGCGGGTGGCTCTGCCGGGCGCTCTTCTGCTGGGGGCTTGGGGCTGCGTCGGGACGGGGCGAGCTGGGCTCCCGGCGGTGCTGGGTCCATCGGGTGGCTCTCGGGCCGGGCAGGACGGCGGGGAACTTCGAGCGAGGGGTCCCGGGCGGCTTTTCGGCTGTGCCGCCCCGTCGGACTCGTATCTTAGAATTAACGCCGAGCAATAAATTACTGCTACTCCGAAAGTAAATAGACGGGTGACTCCCAGATGGGGCTCCTGCTTGGATCGGTACAATAAATATCCCTGAAGGAAGCTCTCTATTTATGTTGTCATTGATTAATTCTCGCTACCTCATTTGATTTCGATTTAGAACGATTTGATTCTAATTTAATTAGCATGTAATTTGGATGTACATAATTACTGTAATTATGACATTCAGGTAAGGCAGCTTTAGGCTGAAAGGCAATTTCAAATTTTCTAGCAGCCTACTTTGTGCCGGGGAGCGGACAGGGACCCCGCGCCCTGCAAGCCAGGTACCAATTAGCACATCTCGGGAGCAGCGCTGCCGCGCGTTTGTGGAACAACAGCGGCGCCGAGGCGGCGGCGGCGGCAGAGCCGCGCCCGGGGCCCTCCGGCGGGGGCCCGCCGGGAGCCGCGCCCGGCCGCAGGTGCGGAGCCGGCCCGCGGGGCCGCGCGGAGGTTGCGGAGCGGTGCCCGTCGAGGGCCCGGCGCCCCTCCAGCTGGCGGCCCGGGCACCGTCGAGACCGGGCCGGCTGCCCCGGGCTGGGTGTGCGCGCGGTCGCGGCGGGCCTGTCCCGCCCCACCGTCTCCCAGAGAAGTTCGCGCTAGCCCGCCCGCTCCCAAGGGCCCTCTCCGGCCCCGTCCCACCCCAGCCTCCTCAGCCCGGCCTGCGCTCCCGCCGCCGGCTCCTCGCCGCGGCCCGGCCCGGGCAGCGCCGCCGTCCCCGCGGCCGCCCCGGCCGCGCCCCCAGCCCGCGCCCTCCGCGGGAGCGCCTCTAGGTGGCGCCCGGCAGCCGCCGTGCGGCCCCGCGCGGGGCAGCGCCGGGAGCGGGACCGGTGCGCGGGCTCGGTCTTGTTCCTGCTCTCCTTTTGTAATGTGTGAAGGATGTTATTCCTTGAGGAAATTTGTAGCTAAATTATTCTCACTTAAAATAAACACTTAGCACACCAATTACTCAAAGGGGCGGGCTGTCTGTTAGCTTCCCTTCATCTGCGTTTTGGAAGGGTGGGAGAGGATCCTGGGGAACAGATAATGGCTGCAAATAAATTACAGCTCCCGCAGATAAAGTTTCCATTTGAATTAAAAGACTCAATTAAGAAGCTGTCCAGGCACGAGATCGGGTGTTTATATATTATCTCATTAGAAGAAAAACATTAATGTTACCTTTTAAGTGTAAAACGAGCCGTTGGGTCTGTAACTCGCCGCGGGGGGCAAAAGGGACGCGCTTCCTGCGAACGGGGGATCTGGCGATCGAATGACATTTAGTGGATAATTTTTCCTGGCATTTTACCTTCTCTGTGTTGGTTGCCGTCACTGGCTGGTTGTTTGCTGTGTTTTAACGGGCTCACGGAGCAGGGTTGAAGTTGCTGTCCGCGAGGTGTGGGAATGGGCAGCAATAGCTGGAGCGGGATGTAAAGGGGAGCTAGGCTCAGCTCACGGGTAAGCCCGGGGCGAACGGGGCCAAGGCGGCGGGGAGCCCGGCTTCCCTTGTTCCTCCCTTCCCGCTGGAGCCCGAGGGGGCACCCCTTTTGCTCCCGGTGCTCTCCCGCTCTCGGGTTAGCGTCCTCTTACTAAAGAGGTGAACTACGGATTCAAAGACCGAAATCAGATTTATTTTTCGGTTCTCACACCGTTTGTTCTTTAGGGTTTTTTTTTGTGTAGAAGTTCCCCAGACCATATAATTATCTCCAACATTTACGAAAGAATGGTGTCATTTATTTTTTAAAAAGGTGACACGCTTTCTATTTTCTTGGTTAAACGAACCGGCTCTGCGGCCCAGAGCTGCTCCCTTCCTCGTTTCTGGGGAGTCTGTAAGTGATGGACGTTTTCTGACCCGAAGGGGCAAAGGCAATGCAAAAAGGTCCTTGATCACTGAGCTGAGAATTGTAACCCCGGCCTGGCAGAAACTGGACCTGGATGGTGTCCTTTGATGTGTTTTATTATAAATCGAAAACAAAGCTGACTTCTGCCCAGCACCCCGCTCGAGTGCATTCCTGCGCAGCCCCCAGGCCGCCCGGCAGGGAGGAGAGCCGGGTCCCGCCGCCCGGCCCGCTCTGTGTGTTACCGCCGCCCGAGCGCTTCCCCCGCGCCCGCTCCCCTCCCCTGCCCGCCGGGAAACCTGCCGGCTACCCGGCACCTTGCCGGGATGCTTTTGGCCGGGAAAATTCCGGAGCGGCTTTCGGGGAAGGTGCTGTCGGCAGCTGTGATGCGAGGTGCCTCTCCTGGGAGGCTCCCTTCCCCCGGCCCGCGGAACGGCCCGCCGGGCTCCCGTCGCCGCCCCAGGGCACAGGCGGTGCCGGCGCTGCCCGGCCGCTTTTGTGCAACAGTGGCGCGGAGGAGGTGGGACGCGGTTATTAGTATTCACGGCAGATGTATTTTCTTTAACGCAACGTCTTTATTCCAGTTGGTGGCCGACAGCAGAATCCGTTTTCCGATGCTATTTGCATTCCCTGTTTTATGGAGGATTAAAATATTTGTATTCATCCAATCTGTACCGGCCAGAGTAAATTAACTTTTTTTTCCCCTCACTATTTTTTTTTTTTTTTAATAACACAATTATCTCATTTAACAATTTGCCTTTAAAAAAATACTGTGGCTGTTAGGTTGGTGGTCAGGAGACAAAGGGAGTGAAAATAATTTTCATTTCAATAATTGCCTTCTGGTCAATTTAACTGTGCCTTATTTTGAAAGAGCCTGTCTAAATGAGATTCCTGTCCCAAATGTGTTCCCAGGCCTTAGCCCAGCCTTTAATTATTCCTGAGTTTTTTTTCTTCAGAATAAGACGCTGCACTGAGTAATCACAAAGAAGTCAGAGAGCATCCTTGAACCTTTTCAATAGCAAAGCCACTGATATTCAAATAACATGCAAGGACCATTTGACTGCATGGGGACATAAGCATTTCCAATTCACTATTTGCATAGATCAACTGTCTTTGAAAAGGAAAGGAGCAGTTGTCTTCCATAACATTAAAAAGCCTAGTTATCAAATCAAGTGCTTAGTTTGGGGCTTTTAAAACGTTTACATTTTATCTTAGGTTGCCCTTTACCGTTTGACATGCAAATTTGGCGCAGTTAATTTGGACAATTAAAAGGATCTTCAAGGGAGCTTTGTCACCGAGAATATTCGGAGTTTTCCCCGTGGACCAGCTGAGATAAAGTTGGCCAGAACAAATGATGTCTAGGAGATTAATTAGATATTTGATAAGACATGAATCCCTAATAAGGGAATACAAGGCACAGGGGGCTGCTGTGTGCTCTAAGTCAAAATTAATAACATTTAACAAGATTTTCATTTAGGCATGAAATGTCTTTTCCGGAGTATTGACTCTAGCGATTTATTCCCCCGAGATCACCTCCCAGCCTAGACAGCCTTGTGGCTCTGAAGGCTTTTAAAATTAAATAAATAGTTCCTCAACACAGTTTGCCTTCACTCGATTTTGGGGATGGTTTCACCAGACACTTAGGTCTCAGCATGTTTTCCGACTGTAGCAGGGCTCGGACTCCGTTTTGGTTTTTTTTTTTTTTTTTGTAAGTAAATTAAAGCAAAGGCGATTTGAAAAGAGTGAACAGAATGTTCAGTGTGCCTGGCTCGGGGGCTGGTTCCGTTCCCTCCCAGCTGTATCACTGTTGGCTATGTTTTTAATCACAGTGACTGTAAGGACGATGGAAAGGGGTGCGAGGGCTTCCACTAAAAAAGTAACCCCTGCGAGGACTGGGTGGGGGGAAGGAGGGGACATGAAGAAGAACAAACCCGTAAGTATATGGTTCAGAGTCCTTTAATAATACCAAAATGAAAATATGTCAAGATTTTTTTTTCCATACAGATAAACGCATTTAATTTCTTTAAGAGACCTTAACTTACATGTATTTGAGTGAAGTGTTAACTCAACATTTTAAATATCTTTTACATATATACTGACTTCCACAAAGTGCATCAGAAATTTAAAAAAAAAAAAAAAAAAAACAAAACAAAAAAAAACCCCAAAACCTCCCTGAATTTCAGGAATTCACCAATTAAAAAAAAAATCCCCAACCCCCCTATCAGATCAACATTTACAAGAAAAATAAGGGAACACGATCTGGTGGTTTGTTTTTTTTTTTTTCTGTTTTTCTTCTTTTTTGAACCCTATTTATACAGATGTTTATGAGATACAGAGGGACCGTCTCAAAGTTGCAGCTGTATTTCTCACCTTAAGCCTCTCTTCGGATGCTTGCCTTCCAACAGAAAGAGAAAAGGGAAACGGAACAATGTGTCACTCGGTACCTACTGGCCAGGCGGGACGGGGGCCGCGCCTCTCCGGCCCTGCCATCCACCGGCCCACCCCGGGGCGCTGCCGGCGGCGGGGTGGCTCCGTCCGTGCGGGCGGCGCGGGGCACAGTCCGAGCGGCTCCGGCGGCGCTGCCCCTAGGAGTCGCCGGGCCCCGCGGTAGGTTCCTTGCCCGGTCCGCGGGCGGCGGCGCCCACCCCCTCGTGCAGGATGAGGTCGGGGGACTCGGAGCGCGGCGTTTCCAGGTTGCTGGCGTCCGTGTCGCTGTCGCTCCCCTTTTTGCCCCCACCACCCCCGTTGTGCGTTTTGATATGTTTGCTCAGGTGGTCGCTGCGCATGAAGCGCTTGTTGCAGACGGGACAGGCGAAGCGCTTCTCGCCCGTGTGAGTCCGCAGGTGACGCTGCAGCTCGTCGGAGCGGGTGAAGCGCTTCCCGCAGAAGAGCCAGTTGCAGACGAAGGGCCGCTCGCCCGTGTGCCAGCGCAGGTGCGCCTTCAGGTGCGAGGTCTTGCCGTACACCTTGCCGCAGCCGGGGATGTGGCAGCTGTGCAGCCCCTTGCGCCGCAGGCTAGCCCCCGCCGGCCCCAGCCGCTCGGCCTCCTGGCAATTGGGGCAGTCGCAGGTGGCCCGGCCTGAGTAGCGCCGGGCGGAGCGGGCCGAGCCGCCCCCGGCGGCGGCGGCGGCGGCGCCCGAGATCATGGCACTGGCCGCCGCCACCGCCGCGCTGGAGTCCGTGTAGGAGGGCAGCACGGGCTTGAAGCCCTCCTGGGTGAGCAGGTGCTGGCTGGTGGAGAGCAGGTGCGAGGCGGCCGTGGAGCCCAGGCCGGTGGAGCTGAAGGCGGAGTGGGTAAGGGAGCTGAAGTCGGGGTTGTAGGTGCCCAGTTGGGAGTGCAACGAGGCCTGGGGGGCGCCCGAGTGCAGCGAGCTCTGCAGCCCCCCCGCCGGGTTCTGCACCTCAAGCCAGGAGCCCGGGTTGGTGTGCACATCCCACCAGGAGGAGGCCGCTCCGTTGGCTACCTCGCCCGCTGAGAGCGTGGAGTGGAAGCCCGACTTGTACCAGGACTCGTACGGGTGCGCCATGCCCACCCGCGGGTAGAGGCTCTCGGCCGCCGAGCTGTGCACTTTGGAGATGAAGGCCGACTGCCCGCCGGGCTCCTGCGGGGACACGCCCGCCGCCGCTGCCGCCGAGTTGGAGAAGAGGCCGCCGTAGTCGCTGCTGAAGGCCGAGGAAGTGGGCGAGGTGGAAGCCAGGCAGAAGGCGCTGTTGGCGGTGCCCGTGCCACTGGCCAGTCCGTTGGATCCCCTACTCGTGGCCACCGTGAAGCCCGAGAGGCTGGAGCCCAGGTTGCAGCTAGAGGTGGAGCGTTTCCAGGGGTGGAAGCCCCCTTTGGCGAAGGCGCTAGACTCGGGTAGGGTGGTCAGGGGACTAGTGTTGCCGATCTTGTTGCAGGTGGCGGCCAGCATGGCCAGGGGAGTCGTTCCAAATCTCGGCTCTTCCTGCGGGAAGAGACAAAGCCAGCCCGTCAGCCTAACCCTTGCCACCTCGCCAGGCTCCCGCGGAGACACGACAACGCGGGTAGAACCGCGGCGCAACGAGCGGTACAGCGGAAAAGTTTTCTCTTATTTTAGAAGAGGGCTCCAACCCTGCCACGCTCGGCGCAACTCATTTTCCGCCGGGCACCGGTCTCATGGCCCGAGAGATTTACAGCGCAAGCGGGTCCCGACGGGGACAAGCGACACGCGTGTTCCGAAAGGGCTGCTCGAGCGTACCGCCGTTAAACCAAAAATCCCGTGGGAACGAAATGCGGCGTCTCCTCGAGCAACCGTACAGGAGCGACGGAAAAAAAGAGATGGCAGCAAGGCGAGCAGTGTGCGGAGCCTTCCGACTGTCGCCTCGTGCAACGCCGGGCCAGCGAAAATCTTTGGAAATCGAGCGTAGTTCGAGTTAAAAAAACAAACAAACAAAAAATTCCCAAACCAAACCAACAACTAAACAAAAGAGAGCAGAAGCATCACGGCTTCTCTCCAGCCCAGCGAGTTTTCAGGCTAAACTCTTTGGGAACGACCCGATGGGCAGCCCGCAATGAAATCCCCCGAGGCGGGCCGGGATCACCTCCCATCCGCGGGTCCACGCGATTTGCGCAAGGGGCAGCCACAACGCGGCGGCAACGACAGTTTCTCCAGGGGGAAGCCGCGAGGAAGCGCACGGTGCGACTTACCCCGAGGATAGACGTAGCCATAGCACGTCCGTGGGCTGGGCGGTGGGGCGGAGGGGACGGCGCTCGGTGAGCGCCCCGCGCTGCCCGGCGGCACTAAGGACACTCCGGCGCGGCGGGGCCAAACTCTGCCTGAGTACGGGCAGCGCCCGCTTTGAAGTACCGCTGGCGGCGGCGCTCGCCCAATGAGGGCGCGGGCGGAGCGGCCCGGCAGCCAATCAGGCTGCGCGGAGGTGCCGGCGCCGGGGCGCGGGGCGCGTGCCAGTCAGCGGGCGGGGAGAAAACTCCCCGCTCCGGCCCGTGGTGGCGGCGGCCGCTCCGCAATTACCGCCGGCCCCGGCGCCCTGGGCCGCGCCTCCCGCTGGGCCGCGACTCCCGCCGCCCCCGCACCGCCTGCCCGCCGGAGAGAGCGAGGTCAGCGCCGACGGAGGGCTGGTGTCACGCCTGACGCCGCACCGCCGTCTCCTGTAAACTGTGCAGGAGGTGTCCGATGCCTCGCTGCTGGTGTAGCCACCTGCGATCCTCGCGGCCCGTAAACCATACCTGCGTCGCTTTTATTCAACAGGCCTTTTGCCTCCTTTTCAGGCCATTGGGGAGCTGTCCGTGTTGGATACAAATAACCTAACAGCGCCTAATGACATTCTGTGAAAACACGTTAAAATTTTTTTGTTTGTTTTCTTTACTAAATGCCAGAAGTAATTTCGTGCACAACGTATTTCTTACTTTCGTTGCAAAAGAAACTGAGGAGGCTTTGTGGTTATATAAAGTGCCAAAAAATTCCAGAGGCAGGGAACCGCCAGGCATCTCTTTGCTCCTGTACCAGGGCGGGAGATGGAACGAGAGGCATTTGACATCCTGTCGCTTAAGATAGAGGATATTATTTTACAGAGTAATCTTCAGCAAAACACTTTGAAAGTCAAATTCGCAGCCTACAGCACGTTTTTCAAGCCTCATATACTCCCGTGGAAGCGGTGCTGCTAATGGCAGAAGGCTTGTTCCCTCCTAGCAGTGCTAGGGCGCTGCTGGAATAAGCCTCCCTAGCACTTGCCTGTGGCCTCTGCACTGTGCACACTCCACGCACCCAGTGAGCGACAGAGACTTTACCTGCTCTCTGCATGTGCGAAATGTAAGTCCAAACCTCGGCTCCTCAATGTCTTGCAAGCTAGTCCCTTTGATTTGTAATTAATGGAGGCTTCTTAAGTAATTGGCTAGAACTTGCCCGTACTGTGCCCGCGGAAGATCAATAGGCGTGCAACTTTTCATCATCGCGGTCGGCTCTGTGAGAATGGGAATAGGAGCTTTTCCCCTTCCTTTTTGCCGTTCCCAGTACAGCTGAGTACAATTCTGAACCAGAAATATGATGAGTGCGTTCAGTCAATGTCGGGCCCTTGCTCTGCATTTCAGTCAATATTTCTTTCTCGGTGCCGCCTCAGCTATAGAGTGTAAAACCTTCTAGCAGATGCAAAATAGGCATCGCTTAGGAGCAAGATGGAGAAACCGGGAATTTGAGATTTATCATTTCGCTTTTCTTTACATGTTTACAAATATATATATATATTTATGTGTGTGCTTAAATAAGGTGGGCATTGCGGTTTTTTCTACATTGTGTTATGCAATCTATAGGACTACTGCCATGCTAGGAAGGATGTCCCTGGAGATTATCTTTTATTTAAACGCCTAAGGCCATTTTCAAAGGGCGCTCGCCTTTTTGTCGCCGGGTACTAAATAGAGTCGGAGCAGTAGGAGAAAATACTGTTCTGCGTTTAATTCTTTCCACATTGACTCGCAGCCGGCGCAGGGTCCGGGTAGTGCATGGCAAAGCCTTCCCTCGAAAGGTCTGCCCGGAGCAGATCCTGAGCGGCAGCTGTACCCAGGGGGGCTGTAGCGCTCGGCGGGTGGAGGCGGCAGAAAGGCGGTGGCGGGGGGAGCGACATAACCCCCACGGGGGAGGCGAGGAGTCCGACAGGGGTACCCGGGAGCCATCGCCCAACAGGTGACTCCTTCCTTCCCTCCTTCCTTCTTCCCTTCTTCCTTTTCTCCGGGGGAAACCCGCTCCTTCCCTTCCCAGGAGCCTGCCGTGGTGGTCGTCAAGTGGCAGCGCGGCGCTCCTGGCCAGCCCCAGGGCGGCGGGGGGAGAGGGTCTTTCCTCTTATCCTGGGGAAAGTCATCAATAAAATACGGCTGGAAGGCAGATCGAGAGCGTGACGTTTAAAAATGTTTCCTCTACATCAGCGAGTAAAGGCATCTGCTGCCCGCTTGCGCTCCCACAGCAAAGTAGGGATTCTGCTGTGCCTGAAGACTGGCGGGCGGCTCTGCCTGCCGCACATCCATCTCCTCGCCCCTTTGTAGTCGGAAAAGTAACTAAAACCCGCAGGAACGAGGCAAGCGGTGGAAAGGCTGAGCGAATGGCGGCGGAAGGGGGAACGCTGCTAAAATCTTTAGGGGGTCAAGTATTTTCTGACAGATTTTTTTCATACTCCAAAAATCGAGTTTTTAAACAAAGATCAATGTGTTATGCTAAAGTGTTGAGCTGACTGTTAAAACATTTGGGGGGATAATGACAATGTAACAAAGGCCTGGTTTGGAGTGAATCATCACCCTTTTAAAAGTTAAAGCAATTTTCACGAGAATAGCTTTCAGCAAATGCTTTACATTATTCAAAACGGCCAAATAATGCTCTATTATAGAGCCTGAATGCTGCCAGTCAGCCCATAAGTGCAATTTGTGCAAAGGCTCGGTGCCTTATCTCCACTTCTTTATAAAGAGGTGAATATAAAACAATTTCTTCCAAACCCAGACAGAGAGCACGAAAATTGCTTCCCTTTCTGCAATCAGGGCAATTTAACTGGAGTGCAATTAGCACTATTAAATGTCGATTCTGCATAAACAAATCTGACTAAGAAGCGAAAGTGGGGTGAGAACCTCATATAAACTGAAACTGATTTTTTAAAATTATGTATCCGGGTCCTTTACAATTGATCCGTGACGTTTTCATCTCAGAATATATTTACATCATAAATACATTACAGTTAAATCAACATAAATCTAAAAAAAAAAAAAAATCTCAATATGAATACTAATAAAGAATAGCCTAATTAAATGCAACAGTTCACTTCCTTTGAACAATATTGTTTCCCATCTTCTCTCTACGAGTGTCTTTTGATCTGTGCAACTACTAAAGTTGCTGTCTTTAGGAGGTAGAGCTGGGAAACAATTCGTTCATTACAGATGGTTGGGAAGCTCCTGGGTTTATATTCAAGAGCATCAGATGAAATGGCTCGTCTGTTCAAAAAGAGCTCTGGGAAAGAGCTGCCAAATATTTTCCAAATAAATCGATTTAGCAGCAGTTAAATGTAAGGTTGCTGCACAATTTCCCCCTGCATTCTAGGAGGGGCACGGAGTTTTACCCCTGAATGTTACGGGTGGGAAGGGGTCAAACCCTTCCAAGTTTAAGAGAAGCAGCTTAATTTTCTGCCAAACAGAAGGGATATGGGCAGGGAACAGGCAAACTGCTCATTGCGAGATAAATAATTACGTCCTGCCAGATTTTTTTTTTTTTTTTAGCAACAGTTCTTCCGTGCGAAACGCCCTCCCCCCCTCAATTGCACTCTTCATTTACGTGATCTAGAAGCCAGCATTGATTATCAGAGCAACTCAGAGGGGTACCTGGTGGTAAATTAATAACTTCAGTTAGGAAAAGGCTTCCCCACTATTCTGCCCAAGACTACTACAAGGGGGAAGGATATATAGAGATAGTGTTAAAATACAGACCTTGGTGCCTGTTGAGTCCACTGAATTCTTTCCACTATAGAGTTTTTCATTTGTGGGTGAAGATGAAGTGCAGTTTTTGATTAGAAGGAAATATTTTATAGTTAATAAAAAGGGAATGAGCACTGGGATCAAATAGATCATGGAATTTAAATTAAAATTATGGCACTCTCCCACAATTTCTGCTTGATCTTTCATATGATGTTTGTTGCATGGTGCACTCCCCTCTCCTCCTGCCCCCCACACACTGAGCCCCGAGATGGAGCATCAGGCTGGGCTTTCTTCTTTTCTCGATCTTTAAGGTGACACTGTTTAGGAGTAGCAGGGAGACCCATATTACCCTGTGTTCAAAAAATCTGCACAATAGTTTCAGAAATCCTGTCGCTTACTGAACGCAGTCAAAAGCGTGTCTTTGGAATTAATTCTCTTCCGCTAAATTTATTTGGACTGTGTATTTTAAAGCTCCCTTGTTCTGTTTATCTCAGCCGGAGACACGTTAACAATTCAAGGGAAGACTAGTGTCAAAGGAAGGAAGGTGACTGCAGACTGGATGATGATTTTAATTGCTACAATTATTGGGAGATTATTCAACAGCATCATAGATTTGTTTTCTGCCTTGGTAGGAAAGTCTGAGGAACATTGTGCGAGGAGCATTGTACGAGGATTTTACCTCTCGGTTCACATGCTTTCCAGTGCTGTTACGATGTATAGGTTAGGCATGACAAGCTCAGGCTGCAGCAGGTTGGAAATTCAGCTACTGCTAGCGTTCAGAAAGCTTTCTTAAAACGCAGGTGTTTCTAAATAGAAAGAGTTTAATTAGTAAACGCTTGGACCCAACGTTTATAGAGCGTGAAACCGCCTTTCCACACAAGTCCATTAAAGCAGCTCTGCTGACTCGGTAATGAGGTGTGTGCGGGGAGCAGGGCAGCGGCGGCCGGGACGGCGAGCTCGGCGGTCGCTGGCAGCGCCCGGCCCGCCCCGGCCCGCCCGGCTCCTCCGCCCCGCGGCTCCCCCGGCGGCGCCGGCCGGGCCGCGGGGAAGCGGCAGCAGCGGGCGGGCAGGGCAACGCGCGGGTGCCTCACCGGAGCAGCCTCACCGCGGAAGAGTCCTGTCCCCACGTTCCTCCTAGCATCCCGCTTCCGGTGCCCTCCTAGCTTTTTATACCACTCTTTTAGCCAGGCGTGACTCAGAATGTTGATTGTGATTAAGCAAGCTTGTCTATCTAGAGATAGAGATATGTGGCAGCGTAATAGGCA